AGCAGGAAAATTCTCCATCAAATCGATTCAAGAGTGCATCAGATCCATCAAAAGTTATAACCTTTTAAAGGATTTATGACAGGAACACCTGAAACGTAAACCTTATATTACAGTAAAATGAACAGCCAACACAATTTCTTCAGCTTACATTGGAGGGATTACAACACAGAGAACCGAACCGAACACAGCTCATAAATTACTCGAGAATCAAAATCAAAGCCCAAAACAAGAAAGAAAAGAAAAATCAAAATCCAAAGAAAGAATATAAAAAGGGTAAAGGAGATGGTTCACCACCAGCCATAGACGACCTGTGTGTACCTCTGCTTGAGCCATCGAAAGCTTTTCCTAAACGACCCTTTGACCTTGCCTTCGACACTGTACATCTTGTAGCTCGCGACCCGTTTCTTCCTCTGGAATTCGGGGTCGGATAATCCCCACGATTTCGACCCGGAATAAGATTTGCCCTTCTTCAGCTCGAAATCGTAGGGTTTCGGGTTCGGATTCTCCACATGGGTCTGTCCGTACGACGCGCTGTAGCTCCGGAAATCGCGGGAACCGCCGTTGTACGGCTGGATCTGCATCTCTCCGTCTCCGTACGTTCGTTGTCGCCCGTAATCCTCCATCGACGACCGTGGGTTCGCCGAGTCTCTGTACAGCTTAGACTCGGACTAAAGAAAGGCGATGAAGAAGAAGAAAGAGGATGGACAGACCAAAGACAAGGAGAATAATTAATAGCTGTATTTTTCTTTGATTTGGTCTCTTTTTGCCCCTCGAGGATATTTTTATTATTATTATTTAAATTTTAATTTAAATTACACAAAATTATAAACATATTGAACCATTATTTTCTTGTAATGCTAATTAAATTACATCACGTCCGTATATTGGAAAGATTCCCCACAAGAATCCCCATTTAAATGATAAATATTATGTGTGCACATTACAAATGTTGTCTTTAGATCATATTTTACGGCCACTGATATCGGAACCATTCTTTTTTAGTTGACCGTTGACCAGTCAAGCCTATGGACATTCGGTTATTATAAAATATATACACATACTTATATGTAATGTTTATATTTATAGACCAAAAAAAGCAATAATCAATAACTATTTCCCCATGGGCCATGATTCCCCATCATAACTATTTTCTTTTTCTATTATTTAGTTTTATATTTTTATATAATTTATTATTTTGAAATTTATATTTTATTGTGAAAAACGTTTTATGCGGTTTCGCGTACAACCGGTCACATACGATTCGTACCGCGGGTGGAGTTAAAATTAAATCACACGGTGAATGGACAAATGATCTTTTTTTTAAAAAAAAGATTAATATAAATAGGGGAGTCCGAAGAATTCGTATAACTATCGTATCGATCGAAATTTCTGGACAAACCCTAAATTGCTCGGTTCGGAAAGGTAAAACTCTTTGATTTCTGATGCCATGTTCGATTTTCGAGCATCTAAGTTTATGATCTTTCGATTCGGATTATAGTGGGCTCTCTGCAATTCTTGGATCGTTTATGCCGGCGGGAAGATCTTCCCCAGGGTTAGGGAAGAGCTACCTGTGTTGTGTCTAGCTCTAGTGCTTTGTCGGGGTTGGTTCTTGTTTGGTTTTGATCCGATTGCGTTTATGTCTGAGTTGTGTTCATATGATCGGTGCTTGAGAAACGTTTCTTGTCTAATACCCTTGTGAAAATAGAGACATAGTTGTATGTATATGCGTTTATAGAGACATAGTTGTATGTATATGTGTTTGGACTTGCTTTGATAAAATATCTGGGAAAGGTGTTCTTGGTTTTGTTCATCGATTGATTGTCCGTCGGTTGTTCAAATAAAATCGGAGCTCCATAGCATCAGAAAAGTCTCTGTTCGTATCTTATATGTCGGTCCAGTGGCTTTACTCTTCTCTGTATTATGAAGTTATGAAGAATCATAGAATTCCATGAGGTTCCTTCTGTTATATAGAATTTCGAATCTTTGTATCGTATTTTCGTGTTCCTCTGCTCTTTTGGACTGTCTGATACCTTAATTCGTGTTCCGTTGTTTCAGATATGGCTGGTGTAGCCGAAGGATCGCTCTATGATGCTCGCCAATATGACAGCCGTATGAGTGAACTGTATGTTTATTGCATGTTTCTCGATATTTTCTCATTTGTATGTCTTCCACGACGTCGTTCTCGGCTTTCTAAAAATAGCTTGCTGCTTGTAGGCTTACCGAAGAAGGGAAAGATTTCTTCTCTACTTATGACGAGGTTTATGAATCTTTTGATAAAATGGGATTGAAAGAGAACCTCCTCAGAGGCATTTATGCTTATGGTGTGTGGTATTTTTCAGGTTCTTGTCGTATAACCCTCCGATAACATCCTTTATGTAGTTTGAGCTTCTTGGGTTTTTGGTAATAGGTTTCGAGAAGCCGTCTGCAATCCAACAGAGAGGAATCGTTCCGTTCTGCAAAGGGCTTGATGTTATCCAACAAGCTCAATCCGGTACTGGAAAGACAGCGACTTTCTGCTCAGGGATATTGCAGCAGCTCGACTATGATCTGCTCCAGTGCCAAGCTTTGGTCCTCGCTCCTACAAGAGAGCTGGCCCAGCAAATAGAGAAGGTCATGAGGGCCCTCGGCGATTATTTGGGTGTAAAGGTTCATGCTTGTGTTGGTGGAACCAGTGTACGTGAGGACCAGAGGATCCTAGCCGCTGGTGTGCATGTGGTTGTAGGCACTCCTGGCCGTGTCTTCGATATGTTGCGTAGGCAGTCACTTCGGGCTGATCACATCAGAATGTTTGTTCTTGACGAGGCTGATGAAATGCTCTCTCGGGGTTTCAAGGATCAGGTCAGTGTTTTCCCTCACCCATGAATATCTTTTATTTTCCCGGGATTTGTTTTCTGTTCACATACTCGGTCTTCGAAGAGTATCGATTTTCAGTGTAAAACCCGTAATTGATGAAGAAGTGTTGTCTCTTCTTTGTGTTTATATGCTTCCAGATCTATGACATCTTTCAGCTCCTCCCGCCAAAAATTCAAGTCGGTGTTTTCTCTGCAACAATGCCACCGGAAGCCCTTGAAATCACCAGAAAGTTCATGAACAAACCCGTCAGGATCCTTGTGAAGAGAGATGAGCTCACTCTCGAGGGTATCAAGCAGTTCTACGTGAACGTCGACAAAGAAGAATGGAAACTCGACACGCTGTGTGACCTCTACGAGACACTAGCCATCACCCAGAGCGTCATCTTTGTGAACACGAGACGCAAGGTCGATTGGCTCACGGACCAGATGCGGGCCCGTGACCACACTGTCTCAGCCACCCACGGGGACATGGACCAGAACACCCGGGACATCATCATGCGGGAGTTCCGCTCGGGATCCTCTCGCGTTCTCATAACCACAGACCTGTTGGCCAGAGGAATCGATGTCCAGCAAGTTTCACTCGTCATCAACTACGATCTCCCGACTCAGCCCGAGAATTACCTCCACAGGATAGGTCGTAGCGGACGGTTCGGGAGGAAAGGAGTGGCCATCAACTTCGTGACTCGAGATGACGAGAGAATGCTTGCAGATATCCAGAAGTTCTACAACGTTGTGATCGAAGAGCTTCCGGCTAATGTGGCGGATTTGATTTGATGAAGGGTTTCAGTCCAACGATCTTCTTGCAAAACCCGGAAAAAAACCACCGTTGAAGGTAATATCTGCCAAATGTGTCTGTCACTCTATGTGTGTGTGTGTGTATGTATGTATGTGTGAGGTTAAAAGACGGTCTCTAACATAATTAAAGTGCCGGTTATATCCGGTTCGGTACTTGAAACCGATATATCGCTTGAAATGTGTTCTTGGCTACGAAATTTTGTATTAGTAGGGTTTGGTTTTGCGGTTTCCTGGGCTTAACCATTTGGTTAAGTTCCGGTTTTAACTGTGCTATATGGTGGTTATATTATATATATCAGAGTTGGTATTTTCTTTTTTCTCGTGCGATATTTTGGTTTGATATTTTATTAGAACATACTTTTGTCTTTGCAATCTGCCGTATTGTTTCACCCGGAGTGAAATATTTGATATTTTGACATAACTCTTAGGGATAATTTGTTAAATAACTCGTGAAGTTATTAGAATAATCTTCGATTTAGAAAATTGACGCTTTTGAACTCTTAAAGTACAACATTACGTTATAGTTAGACATCGAATTGTGTCAGAAAAATATCAATCTTGAATTACAAACCTAAACCGGATATACAAAAGTGTAATTACTAATTTTTTTAAAAATATGTGCCATTTTAGTAATTTTGACTTTTTTTGTTATATTCACAACCGTCCTTTTTTCCAGTATTCGATAAGAGCTTCGGACCGGACCACCTGCCCCACTTATTAAAAAAAACATATCTTAAAAAAGCATATACAAATAGATAAAAAAAAAAAATTAGCCCACGGAAAAGAATTTTCACTAGAGAATTACTACGCATATACATACACACATATATATACACATACATACATACATATACACATGAGCGAGTTTATATCGGTCTCGTGAATCAAAGCATAAATCTCTGAATTATAAGGACCGGGTATAATATACGTTACGTTACAGGACGCTTTGATCTTTGACGGATCAGAGAGGAACAACTTTTCATTGAATCTTATCTATTTGGTCTATTATATTTTGACGGTCCAAAATTCAATTTATTAGGCCATGAGATCCTTAAATTCGCATATATCAATATTTAGCCGGTGGTTTCATATAGTTTTCCTGTCGCATATATAATATATAGTAGGGAAATGACATTCTTTTAATACGACGACAAAGAGATTACGAGGAGTTATATGTGTGTATGTGTAAATTATATAGCTGATTGATTGGGAAACGAAAACCGACAAAATATATAGGATATGTTCGGACAGTATAATTTGACATTTCGAGAATAATTCATATTTTATTTAATTTTAAAAAATAGTAGAAGATAAGAATATGAATGGGATAATAAATCTTTAGAAACCACAAGAGGGGGCATTTACAAAAATGACTTTAAATGTCATTTTGACTTCAAGGGTGACCTTGAAATTTTGATAATTCCAATTTTGTCCTTCAATATAATAATTATATTTTATTGTTATTTTATTCAGGGGACTTTATTTCGTTTTCGAAAAAACTTAATATTTCTTTTATTCGGTTTAGCGTTTCTTCTAAAAATGGGAGCCAATGTCCATTATAATTATCTTTCGATGAATGTTTTCTAAAATATTCAATTTTTATTTCTTTTATTGTAATTAATTTTTTTAATTCTATAATTATATTGTTAATTTGTTCTTTTTCTATTGTATTTTGTATGCATCTTAGTTTACTCTCTGTTTCTAAATATTGTACTGGTGCGTTTAATAATTCGATATTTTTCTTGTATATTTTTTCCATTTTATTCGTCAGAATTTATAATATCTCGTTTAATCTCTCTTACTGCGTTAAATATTGCACTAATCATTCTTATTCTTCGATTTTCCTTATTAAGTTCATTTCGTTCAATTGTTCCATAAGTTCGTTCTCTGAATATACTTTCTATAGTTTCAACTAATAATTGTTCAAGATGATCTAGGCATGGTAAACTTTCAAGATTTAATAAGGATAGTTTTTCGATAAAGTCTTCGTTGAAATTCATTTTGTAAGATTATTGATTTGTGATATTGTTTTTCGTAATTTAGAGTAATCTTCATGGTTTTCGTCTGATTGTTCAGTGTTGAATAATAGAGATGGTGATTCTTGTATACTTAATCTTGGGTTAAGTCGTAACAACGATTTCCGTCCTGGTTCTATTGCAGTTAATGGTCTTTTTAGATAAATTACTGGTTTAAATAAATCATCTATTTCTATAATCTCTTTGTTTCTAAAATTTAAACTGTGATGACTATTGGTTAATGCGTAGTTAATCTGATAGGTTATAGAAAAAGGGTGATTTCCTTTTTCCATGAAATCTGTTCTATCTAGTTTGTATTGGATAACTATTGAATTATCCAAGTCTTTATCTTTCAACGATAATCCGAGTTGTATATTAATGTTAAATTTAATTTTTCCAGAAGAAAGATTTCCTTTTCCTTCGGCTATAATACTTTCTTGTTGGTGATCCGGAGATCTGATCGGTTTTTTGATATTGTTCAGGGGTGGTGTTTAGTTCCAGAGTTCTGGAGTAATTGGTTTGTGATTCAAAAGAATCTATTCAAGGCCTCCAGAAGATATAGATCTTCAAGCCAATCTCCTGAGAGAGATCTTTCAGAGAGAGTTCTGAAACAAATTCGTTTATTTCACTCTGAGTTCTCCAAACGGAGAGAGCTCATATTTATACAACTTTGGAACCCTATCGGTTAGGATAAGAATCTCAAACCGGGGCCCGACTTACACACATGGCATTACATAATTTTACAATAGAGATTACAGAGATAAGGTTCATGATAACCTTATCTTTTATTGGGTCCGACATATTACAACAACTAGTCACATTGTTTCTTTATTTCACATGTCTTCAGACTTTTCTGATGGTGGTTGGCTGCTCCTTTTTATTTTGTCCTTTAGCGATAGTGCATTTGTGGTCGTCATACCTCATCAGGAAGCTACAGAGCTGTTCCTTGATAGATTCCTCTAGTCCTGCGAATTTTCCTTCTAAATGATAGAAGTCTAATTCGAAATCTGCTACTGCTTGCATTTCTTCCTTCGAGATAATTTCTTTGTTGTAGGTGATCATTAGCACATTACTGCTAGCATAATTGACTTTGATCTCTGAATCCGCAAGGATCCTTCTTGATGCCTTAAAGACTTCGAGTAATGAATGAGCTTCTAAATCGTCTGGAATCTCATAATCTGATGCATCATCTCTTGGAGGCAATTCTCCCTTTGCTACTCCAAGGTGTATTACTGCATGTGACTGTATAATCTTATCCTTTCCGAAGATCGGGATTGAACTCTTAATCTTCATGAAAATAGTTCTTTCCTTCGCGAATCGTTCAAAGTAATTTCTGATAATTGGTTTCATCTTTCTTGGAAATTCTTCGAATATTTTCATCGAATCAGTGTAGATACTGTCGACTAGTCCATGTTGAAGGTAATCAAATGCTAGTAATGGGTTGGCTTCTCCAATGAAGATAGCCTTTGGTCCGGTTCTGGTCATTTTCGGGTAAAACCCCATGGTAGTGTGTTTTTCCTTGTAATCTACCAGAGACGCCCAATAGGACTGATATTTTTCGAGGGTTACCTTTTTCAGGGCCTCCTTTTCCTGTGTGGTTGGTATTTGAGCTATTTTGGGTATTTTCATTGAGGGTAGTTGTGCCCTTGGTTCAACTGGTTGTTTTTGGGCCATGGTTTTGTATGATTCGTTGAGAGCTTTCTGAGCCTCTTCTTTAGTCTGGAAAGCTTGGTGCGAGACTTTCTTTCCGCTGGTATGTTGCGAAAATATTGCATAATATTGTATTTTGTTTTTCGGTTTTTGGTACTTCATTATTACTGGTACGACCGTATTGGTCAAGATGGAGTAATTCTTTTCCATCTTTTATTGCTAACATGCATCCTGCCCAAACTTCTTTGGATGCATCTGTTTCATACGTATTGTGAATCAGTTCTTAATTCGAACCGTGTTTGTAATAAATCAATTTTCCATTTCTTTAGAGTTCGAAGACAAGCAAGTGTTTCGAGCTCATGAATTGGATAATTCATCTCAGTTTTTGAAAATGTTCCTGAAATATATTTGCATAATATTGTATTTTGTTTTTCGGTTTTTGGTACTTCATTATTACTGGTACGACCGTATTGGTCAAGATGGAGTAATTCTTTTCCATCTTTTATTGCTAACATGCATCCTGCCCAAACTTCTTTGGATGCATCTGTTTCAATAATCAGAAAGTCTTTGGTCGTTGGATTGTATAATTTTGGTAATATCTTTATATTTTCTTTTATATGTTTTACTAAATTTGTATCTTGATTAGTCCAAGACCATGGTATTTTGTCTGATATTTTCTTTTGTAATTGTTTTCGTTCTTTTGCTAGGGATTTGAGAAATCCCTGCTCGGAAACATAGTTAAGGCACCCAAGGAACCTTTGTATTTGTTTTCTGTCTGTTAATTCGTTAGGAAATTGTTGTATTTTTTCATGTACATTATTTGTTAGTTCAATTTCTCCGTTATTATTTATTTTTAAACCAAGATATTCAATTTCTTGTTGTACTAATTTTGATTTCTTTTTAGAAATAATTAATCCTTTTTCTTTGCATCGTTCTAGAACAGTGATTAATTTTTCAGTGTGTTCTGATTGTGATCCGTTTGTAAATATTATGATATCATCAATGTATGCTAGGCAATATTCTTCTAATCCACGGAGATTTCTATCCATGAATTGTTGGTATATTGCTGGTGCTTGTTTTAATTCGAATGGAAGAACATTCCATTCATAATGTTTTTGTGGGGGGCATGAGAATGCCGTTAATGGCTTTGTTTCTTCTGATAATCGAAGCTGCATTTAAAAAACAGACTAACATTTATAAGTATGACTCATATTGAACAAAAACTTGATGAAATATGTAGTGATAATCCATTAGATATAAAAAATACAAATGAAGAATTAATAGTAATAAAACTAAAAAACCCCGAAGATGAAATTAATGTACCAAATAAAATGCAATATACCCACAGAGATGTGGAAGAATTCACCAAAGAATGTAAAGAACTACTAGAAAGAAAAAATTATTAGCATACATAGACACTGGAGCAACTCTATGTTTTGCTAAAAGAAATATCATCAAAAAATGGGTACGATTAGAGAAACCACTACGGATAGTAGTGGCTGATAAATCAGCTCATGAAATCTGGTATGTGGCTCAACACGTATCAATAATTATAGAAACTAAAATATTTCCAGCAAAAACAATATATCAACACGATTCTGGATTAGATATAATTATAGGAAATAATTTTCTAAAATTATATCAA